TTAAGATTATATATATATATATATATATTCATAATGTCAGAAAAAAAATTACAATTACAATTATTTTTCTCCATAAAGTTATTTATTTTCTCTATAAAATTTAGTCAGATTTTGATTATTTTTGATTTGTATATTCTATATTTTATATTATATTTTTTATTCTAATAGTATTTGAATTGCGAAAATTCTGAAAATCAATTCAGAAGATATTTTTGTGAATATTACAAATTAGCTTGAAAGTTTACACAAACTGCATTCAAATTATAGTGAAACAAGAACTACTCTCAATTTGTGAAAACTTTATTAATGGAGAGGAGAATGAGTTCAAAACTGAACTGAATAACTACTACAACTATTTGAATGATTAGAATTAGTAGGACTTCGTGAAACTGCAACAAGTAATTGTAGATACTACTTGTACAATACTATAATCATATCTTTATTCATAAAATTAAAAGATTATTCATTTTTTAAAAATTGTTGATAATTTATTATAATTTAGAATATATATAATAACCAATTTCAATTCATTTTAAAGATAGAGTCTTCAGTTTTTATGTTTGAATTGTATTTTGTCAAAAATTAAATTTTAAAAAGAAAATTGAATTTTCTTTTATATTAAAATGGAAAATGAAATAGAAATGAAAATGAAAAAATTTTTCCTCAATTCTACAAATTTTATATATATATATATACAAGTGTATGTTTAATATATTTAATACGGTTAAGCTCAGAGACGAGTGGCTTTGTTGTATAATTATTAAACAGAGCTCTTGGAATTTTGTCAATTGAGAAATTTATTTTTAAATATTTAAAAAATTGAAAAGTTCCCTAATTTATAGATTACTAATATGTCACTATAAGGCCAATGTTCAAAAGATCATGGATCTTGGTAATTACTTTTGATAATTCGAGGTGCCTGAATAAGGAAACCCAGACAGCTGTCCACTAATAGACAATTCCTCTTTCCAAAACATTCACGAGCGAATTATAGGGAAATTATTCAGGATCATCTTCCTCCAAGGAATAGCTGCATCCTCTTGAATTCTTAATCTTTTGCAGATTTGAAGAATGGGAAAAAAGTCCAAGTTCTTATCATAATGGTTTTGCTCTGATGAATTTTATTAGAATATAAATATAAAATTATATAATATAATTAAAATTAATAGACTCTCGTATAATAATTTAGATACGTATAACTTAAAAATACATGTAATGTATAACTTAGAAAATGTATAACTGTTTTTAACTTAGAAAAAATTTGTTCTGTGTAATTAGCACAACTAAAATCTCGTCGCTAGTATTATTTTGCATAATAAATTTCAAAATTCAGTAAATTGAATTCGTTTTTATTTCTCCAATTTGGAATGATCTTTTGACTAATTAGAAAAATCTTAGTCAATATTCCATGTACAAAATTAGTCAATTCCGAAAAATTTATGGAATCGATTATGAAGACAGTAATTAAATATATTTGTTAAATATATAATATATTAAATATAATGTTACAATATATAATTATAGTATATAGTATATACGTTATAGTATATAATTAGTTTATACAGTATATAAAATTAAATATAGATTTGAATAAACATACAAAAACAATATAAAAAAATAATAACTAGCCAAGTAACCAACATTTTTAAATATAATAAACAAATTAAATCACATATACTAAATATATATTAAATATAATAAATTATATAAATATATATTAAATATACATTAAATAATAATAAACATATATTAAATATTTAAGTACATATAAGACATATATACTTAAATTGTACATAGACATATACTGCACAATTTCGATGTTTTTAATTATATATTTTTATTTAAAATGCAATAAAGAAGCAATGAAAAGTTGTTTTATATGAATAAAATATATACTTTTATTTTTATTCTAAAATGAATTACAAACAAAATTTATCAAAATATTAAAATCACTTTAATATATAAAATATTATAGAAAAAAAATTTAGTTTTCTCTATTTGCTAATATAAAAATATATTTAAAAACATTCCATTCTAAAATATGAAAATAAAAGTTTTATTTTTTAAAAATGAGGTTACATAAAGTATTATGTGAGATTTTCATGAAGTTTTTGGTTGAAAATTAACAATTCTTCATTCAAAATTAAATAATCTTTCTACAGAACAAGTTATAAATCTGTATAAGATAAATATAATTTTAAGAAACAACTGTTAAAAAACTTAAAAATCTAAAATTCTCTCTTAAATTGTTTTATAAAAAATTAATAATAACTAAGGAAATTTTTAAGACTTATATTAATTTTTATTTTATCAAGAATATTAGATCTATTAAATAAAATGAATGTAATAATTATGAATAATTAATTAATGAATTATTAATAATTCATAATAAATAATTAATTAAATGAAATTATTATTTTTATACATCATATAAAATATTTTGTCTTGCTATCTCGAAATATCGTACATATTTGTTTATGTTTCAATCTTATATCTATGTTATCTTTGTAACAAAATTATGCAAAAGAAATAACCGCATCATTGATGTAACTTAAGAACAAAATTCCTTTAACGATGTTTATTACTTTTGGCAGAATGCACAGCGAAGAATGGAGGATCGATAGTAGAGCATCATCCGTCTTCTTATTGGGAGCAATCCTTTAGTCAGCCTTATTTCGACAATACGACAAAAAGGGAAACCACGACAACTGTAGGCCAAACCGCTTTTCTTCATTGCAGAGTGCGCAATCTTGGTGATCGTGCTGTAAGTTCAAATTTCCTTATTGCTTAACTCTCACTAATTTAATAAAAACAAAAATGTTACACAGCTAATTAGTTGAATGGAAGTTCCGATGCTTTGTTTTCTTCAATGTTTTTTATTTCATTTTTTTGTTCTTTCCTTTTATTAATTTTTTTCAATTTTTCTAGTGATTAAAATTCATTTTATTATGAATATATTTTCTTTTTTTTTTTATTTTATCAAAAATAGAATACTAATTGCACTAATCGAATATTAATAAAATGTAAAATTTTATATAATTAATACAGTGTACAATTTTTTAAAATAATTTTTAATCATTTAAATATTTCCAAATGTTTTAAAAATTAGTTCAAGACCATCCTATTAAATCTGTTTATACACATTGTATATGCTACAAACGCGAATACCATTTTTGTAATTTATTATGTTAAATTCATTATATTTGTAAGCGATTATGCAATTGCGAAAGTTAAATATCCAAATAATAATTATAAATTAATTTACCAAATCTTTTCAATCTAATTTCATATTTATTTCGGTGCAATCTTTTCACCAAAATGGTTTTTAGTTATAATAATTTGTNCAAAAACAAAGTTAAGTTTCAAATAATATTTTCCCTTATTCATATATAATAATATAATTCTAAAAAAGCGATAATAATTGAAATCAAAGATAAATTTATTATTAAAAAATTATACTTTTACATTGGACAAAATTATTCTTTGCTAATATTAGATTTATTGCGTTAGAAATACATGAAATATGCAAAGCAAAACTCATATAATCCTATCATATATCTATCTAATAATTCTACATTTAATAATTAAAATAAAATTTTTGAATAAAATAATATAAGAGAATCAGTAAATTCATTTTTAAAAATTACAAATATAATATAATATATAATAAATGAAGAAATTACATATATACTCAACTTCTATTGCCAATTTTATTTTCTGTCCAGATAACTTATGGAAAATTCTGAAAATGAATTGAGCATAACCAAATTATTAGATTTATTCTTTTATAGAAATATTTTATAAATAGGGCACATGATAATAAATTGAAAAATTAAAGATAGCTAATTCAAATTTCTAAAATACTACAAAAAAATCTAGGCAATTGAAACAACGTCAACTATATCTAATATAATATTACTGATATATCAAAAAAAAAAGACCAGAGAATTTTATTCATAGTAATATAATTACTATGAATAAAGAACAGAAATTATGAATAAAGACAGAAATTATGAATATAAATATATGATAATAAATATATCATATCTGAAACATATCTAAAAATTCAACATATTATATTACAGGAGTATACAATGATTCAAATCACGCTAGATAACATCCAAATCTTATATAAGAAATCAAAATGTAAACAATTAAAGAAAAAAGTAAATTTCGCAATAAGCAATAATAATATAGAAGCAATAATAATATAAACATATATAAATACATATATGTATATACACAATAAAAACAATTCTTTCATTTTTTATATTTGGTTTTATCAATGCTTAGAATAGCAACCATAGCATTTATGTAATAAATTTGGTAAGAAAATTATATCATATTATATGAAAATATAGTATTTTAATGCATTCTTGGATGATTATATATCTGTAATTTTCTATGTTCTCGATACTAATTTATCCAAATTTTATGTACATATTAAGTATTTTTTTTTTAATAATGTAGAGAAAAATCAAATATTTTAATATTCTACAAGATCTGTTTAAATGGAAAAATGAGTAGAATAAAATGATAGCACACATCTAAAAAAATAGATCAACGACTATTTTTGTTTGAGAATGAAAAGATTTTTGATATATTTTTATAATATTTTATGATATTTTATTGAATCTGAATCTGAGCATAAAAATTACATGTAATGATTTAAAAATAAATGGATAAAAAATATCAAATTTCAATTATATTTATAGAATATAAATTTAAAAGAAATAATATATTTTTTCAATATTTCTGTCAATTATATATATATTCTTCATTTGTGAAATCAAATTTAATTTATCATCATAAGACTTTTTTCTTGCGATACATTCTTGCTTTGAAATTATTCCATTTTTAATTTTTTACTGATAATAAGGAGGAAGTTTGATGAAAATTCTATTTTATTTTTTTAATCAAGGAGACTAATAAAGTGAAAATGGATTTATGATTTTTCAAACATTAAAGTAAATACTTTTCTAGCTTCTATTTTGGATATATTAAAAATGGAATAACTTCAAAGCAATATATCTTGGAAAAAGTTTTGATAATAAATTATATTTGATTTCACAAGAAAATTAATGGAGTTGACATAAATATTGAAAAAAATTACTTACTTTGACTGTGTCTCATAAATATACCAACAATTCCAATCAATATTTTTTATTCATTTATTTTTTAACATAATAAGCAATTTTTATATCTGGATTTAGATTTAATTTTCAAATCAAAAAAACTTATTAATCTGTTTTTTCAGACATATCATTATTTTATCTATTTTCTTAAATAAATAAAATTTATAAATAAAGTATTAATTGCGTTTAAATTTTTATTATTAAGGAAAAAATAAATTATATTTAAAATTTGAATAAATTATATAGATTTTAAGAAACATTAATCATATAATTATCATAGGATATGCTATTACTTTGTTTGAAAGTATATCTTTACATATTAAAATAAAAGTGTTCGTATATATATCAATGTTAACATATGTTAACATGTAATTTGTCAGTTTTAGCTTATATATGCCAAGAATAGATAGGCAAAATTCAATAGTTGAAGTTAAAAATAAAGTTATTTTAATAAATTACTTCAATAATTTATTATTCAAAACATTGAATAATCGTGAATAATTGTAGTAGCAAATGGCCAAGATTATATAAAGAGTGTAAGTATCAAGTATAATATGAATAAATGTTATTCAAGCATTTTAATAAGTAATTAATTAAAGTAATAAAAGTAATTTTATTCAAAATTTTTAACTAATTATTTTTTCAACCGGTTAATATTCAATTCTGAGCAATATCAACATTGACTATAGTAGTTGGTTGTTGATTTTTCTTCCAGTCAATTATGTTAATATCTGATATATATTCAGACATAATGATACAATATTCAAATGTCTGAAATATAAAATTCTATAAAATTCTATAATAAAATATATATTAATTGCTAAATAAATATAACGCTGCTATCATTTCAAGATGCATCATAATCAATGATTCGTATATAAAATAAAACAAAATAAATATTGATTATTCATAACAATAGAATAAGATATAATATAAAAATAATACAAAAATAAAATTCATATTAAGATAAAAATTTAGAAATATAGAAGTAAACACATGAGAGTTGGATTTTTTGAAAATAAATGGATTTTAGTGAAAATAAAAACATCATGTATATATCTTTCAAAGAATATATTTTTTTTCAATAAAATAATTGAATCGAAAAATCACATTATTTATTAAAAAATATTAATAAATACAGAAATATTAAAAAAAAATAAAAAATAATTTCAAAAGTCAATAATTTTCAAAATATTATATTATTTATTATAAAATAAAGATTTTGTAAATATGTTATAATAATTAAATTGTGTTATGTCTTATCAAAACCATGAAATTTTTGTATTTAATATTTTTAAACATGTTTCATCTTTAGAAAATATAAGATATTTTCATTTACAAATTTTTATATTCAGAGATATATCTGAACAATGAATAAATATAAAATTTTCAAATAGTTTTTAAATATCTTGTATTTGTACTTTAATACTATGATCAGTGCCATATTGCTATTATTCAATATATTTA